AGGGTCGGGGTGGGGGTTCTGGGGCGGGGCGGGCAGGCCTGGGACCCGGGAAGCCGCGCGGTCTCACCCGTTCCGGGGTGCAGGCGCAGCCCTCCAGGAAGGGCCAGTTCTTGAACGTAGAGACGCGGTGGTCCTTGAGGTAAAGCTGCCAGGCCGCGGGCAACGACGGGGCGCCCATCCCAGCGCCGCGGAGCCGTGCCGAGATTCAAATCCGGCGGTTGCCGGCCGCCGCGGGGCATGTCGGGAACGCCCCGCCCATGAGTTTTGCGCCCGCGGCTTTCTGGGAATGCGAGGCTGGGCGGCGCGGGGCGTGCTGGGAGTTGTAGTCCTCCCGCAATGTAGTCCAGCTCCAGCTGGCTGAGCACCTGGCGATCTCGGTCCCGTGGTCGCCGTTTCCCGCGCTTAGCTCTTGTAAACAGTGGTGGGAAGAGGAACTGATGAGCGGAAGTCCCCATAATGAATTCAGGGAGTGGCCCCTGTCGAGTACATATTTGTTAAGCCCCTTCAGCCTGCACAATCTCGTTTGTTTTCGGGGATGGGAGGGGGGCGGGGGGCTCCACTACTGGAACGCCCTAATGCCAGCTTCCCCTGCCCTTGTGCGAGGCGGGGTCGGGGTGGGGGGGCGCGGTTAGAAGGTATGCTGAGGCGTGTTCATCCTGAGGCCGCGCGTCTGCCGGGGAAAAGATACCACGTAAATGAAATCCACAGCTAAACTCCATCCTCGCTCTAGTGAGCTATTAACTGGCCTGTCAAGTCTTCACTGAAGCTTCTTGGAAGTTCAGACGTTGCCCCTTGGAGCTTTATTCTTCCCTTTCCTCCAGAATTCGTCTGGGAATGGATATTCCTTCGGGTCAATAGCTAGAACTTTGACTATGCAGCAGCATCCAGATATTTATTCAATCCCGACCATTTGTTGGGCCCTTAGTTTTCTGATTTTGTGCCATTATGAATAATACTACAATAAATACTTTGTACGAATATCCTTGGTTTCTGGTATTTTTGCTTCCATGAGCTAGATTTCTAGGTCAAATGTGCATTTAAAATCTTGATACCCAGTGCAGATTTTTTTTCTGAAAAGCTGTAGCTGTGCTCATTCCCATATGCCATGCACGTTTCCTTGCCAGCACTATATATTTAAATTTTTGCTAACACATTTTTGGTACACTTATCTATTGAGTCGTTCCTCTTTTTCTTATCAGTTTTTAGTTCATAGGTATATGATATTAGCTTGTAGCTGTTATGTGTTGCAACTTGCCATTTCACAGATGGGAAAACTGAGGTCTGTGCAGTACAAATGATGTCCACGGAGATCACACCGGCCACAGTGCCGTTAAGACACAAACTCAACTGAATAAATTTGAACATCTAATTGACTTTATTAAACAATTCATGAACCTGACATCATCTCACCTGAAAAACAAAGAGATACTCCCAGCAGTGTTATACAAAATGGAAGGCTTTTCTAGAAAGGAGGGGGCGGGAGGAAGTCCTTAGCAAAAGGGAAATGAAAGTTCATTGGAGAGTGGGGGGTGATGACAGCTTCTCATTGGCTGAGCTGCAGTGTTTTCCTTTGGCCGGGCTTGTTGCTAGGCAAGAAGAAAATCTTCCCTCCCTGCCGAGGTGCAAGATTAGTCTTTTCTGCTTGGGGTGATTGACAAGTGCTAGAGAGTGCGAGCTCCCTCAGCAGGCCTTCCGGACTCCAACTTTACTTGAGGTTTCCTTATTAATTTTTCACTGAGCGGATCTAAAACCTGGCTTGTCCACCACCCACCCAAGGTCTCCAGCACTCCAGCTGGCTCATATGGTGACAAAGTCTGTGTTTACTGAGCCCTTACCTTGTATTCATTCATTCAGTGAGTACTTATTGATTTATCGATGAACATAAAACCACTACTGTTCCAAGTGCAAATGACCCAGCAGGAAATAAGTCAGGCGAGGTCCCCTTGCGTGACACCTCAGGCACCATGGTAGCGCATCACATGCAGGAAATCACTTTACTGCTTATGTAAAGAGTCAGAGTCCTAAGTCTGTGCCCGTGGGCCACAGACGGGAGTGATGATCTGACTGGCATTTTCCTTCCGTTTCTTCCACTAGGTCAAGTTACCTGGCCTCTGTGAGCCTCAGTTTCCTCAGATGTAAATGGGAACTTGATCACTCAGAGCCGTGAGACTTCCAGCTGACCCTTCTGGCTGACACACATGTGTGCAATTATGCTGGTAGGATAAACATCTGAAAGAAGGGTTGCTGTACAACCAACCCACCCTCTCAATCATCAAAGCATAAAGGGTTTGCTCTGCCATCTTCTCCAGTGGATGTGACCCTGATTCTTTAATCCAGGCTATTTTAATCAGATTTTTGCCAATATGACATTCATTGAAAAAATATATCTTCTGGAACAAACTCCAAGAAGCAAACGCATTTCTGTTTTTCATTTCCTATTTGGCACAAATAAATTTCAGCTTTTTTTCCATTTAAATGTTTATTTTACTGGAAACTTCAGCTGCTTAGGTCTTTTCCATAAGATTTAAAAAAGTTATTCTTACTTGTATATTTATCACATACAAGAGCAACATATAACATTGACAAGATTTATTATAAAGTTAGTATATTTTTTAACATTGTATATGCAGAGAAATCTCGGCATTTGAGGCTTTGGTTACTTTCCGTTTCTGTGGTAAGTATTTGGAATGTCTGTATTTTTTCTAGATCATTCTTTTTATTAAATTTTACATATATGAGCAATTGTATGTGGCAAAATATACATAGCATAAAAATGTGCCATTTTAACCACTTATAAGTGTGTAGTTCGGCGACATTAAGACCAGTTTTGTGCGACCATCACCGCCGTGCATCTCCAGAACGTTTTCATTTTCCCAAACTGAAATTCTACTCACAAAACACTAACTCCCCATTTTCCATTATATTGCGTAAATAATATTTAATTCATGGATTAGCCTTCAGCTATATCAAATTTTACCAGTAACAGCTTCTGTCATTTTGAACTTTCTACATTATTTCTGCCAAGTTTGTGTTGTCTTGGGCCCAATTTTTAACCTCTAAATTTAGTAGCTGAAAAAAACATTGAAACTTATATCTGTTTAAATAAGACATTTACCATGAGCAATTTCAACCATTGTCAAATTTTGTTTTGTTCATTTCTACCGGTAATAGTCATTATGAATTGGATAAGAAGCTGGTAGCTTGGATTTATTTCTCAGCTTAATTCAAGAGAGAATTGTGAAAAGCAATTTTGTGAAACAGAATGGGGAGAGAAAATGAGGGAGAGGAAAACACAGAGACTAACAAAGAGACCCACGCAGAGGGGGAGGCTGTGTTGGTTCTGTTGGTCGCTAAATCCTCGGGGTCAAAGGTCTCCCTGATAAGCATGAGGAGGTCAGGACCACAGCACCACCGTCATGTCCAACATTCTGATCTTTGCCCATTTGAGAATACGAAGCAGCATGTGCCAGTTTTAAGTTGAATCTCTTTATTTAAAAGGAAGGCTGAGCACCTCTTCTCAGGTTTACTGGTCACTTAGATTTATTTTCCGTGAACTGCCCATTCATGCCTTGCCCACTTTTCCGGTGGGTTCCTGAGATTTTTCCTATTGGCCAGTGAGAGTTCGTATACATTTGTCATGTCTAAATTTTTTATGCAGACCTATTTATCACTCATCTACTTTCTGGCTTTTGTTTTCTGTTTCCTGTCGGTGTCTGTTGTTTTGTTAATTTTGCTATCCAAAGAAAGGCTTGTTCCACTCTAAGATGATTTATAAAGATATTCATTGATGATTTGTTCTGATTTTGGCTTTTATGTTGAAGACTTGACCCTCCAGAAATAGATTGATGGAAGGTAGGTGGAAAGGGTTCCGATCCGTTTTCCAAGATCGGGCCGGGTGCCCCTGCGGTTTGTGTCATAAGCGGCTGTGCACACTGGGTTGGAATCAGCACCTTTCTCACATACTAAGCTCCCCTGTTTACCGGGACCAAGCTCTGCAGCCCCGTTCTGTTCGTGGATCTGTCTGCCTGTTCCTGCTCCAGCCAGATTCTCTCATGGATGAGTAAATGGAGACCCAGAGCCGAGGTCTGGAAAAGACAGGGAGTCGAGGATGGAGACCCAGGCTCCAGGATCAGATCTGTGTGCAGGTCGTGGTTGCTAGGAGATCAAAGAAGGTTGGCACCCTGCCCTGCTCACAAAGTCAGGAAATAGTGCTTTATAGGCCTTTGGTGCCATGCGGAAGACTCCAGATGAGCTCGAAAAGCAAGGGGACAGGGAAAAGGAGGAAGGAAGGAGCTCTAAGTCCCAGGCCTAAGGATAAGGCTGACCGCCCGGACCTGGGTGTCCTGGACAACTGCCTTCTGGGGAAGGGGGACGGGCAGAGCAGGGCTACCATGATGGCAAACCTACAGGAGAGCAGGGAACGACCAGGGCAAAGAAGGTGCCCCAGCAGGAGTAAATCCTGAAGCCTATCGGGGGGAAAAAACTATGCGTCCTGAGCCTGTGGCAGAACAGGGTGTTCCGGTCACTTCCTGAGCCACGGGACTGGGCAGATGGCAGAACGCGAGGCCTCAGCAGCCCTCCAGCCTCACGCGGGCCTGCCGGTGTCTGTTCTTTCAATATCACAGCTACTGGATAACTTTTTATTTTACCATTTTAAATTAAAGTCGCAAGAACAGTACAAGGAATACCCTTTGCCCAGATTTTCTAACTGGTTTACATTTGGCCTGTTTGTCATTCTCATTTTCTCTCTCTCTCCATACGTGCGTGTGTGTCACATACACGTACACGTATGTATATTTTTACCTGACCCATCTAAGTGTTAGTTGAACGCATCCTGCTTCTTTACCTCTAAATATTTCATTCTCTCACCTTATCACAGAACAAGTGTCAAAATGAGGAAAATTCACATTGATCGGTTATCTAATTCACAGCCTATTTTTAAGGAGACTTTTATAGTCAGTTAAAATATTTATAGTAATATAAAAATTTATATTAGGTAAAAGGAAGAAAATTAAAATTACCCACGGTTTCACCCTGTAGGTTAACTGCTGTTAACTTGTATCCATCTTTTTCCTATCTAGACACTATGCGTAGAACATCATAGGCCCGTATCTCCATGTCTATATATATCCTTAAGTGAAGAGTCACGCAGCAATGACACACTTTCATTCCGTCCCTTGCTTACCTTAAGGCATTTTGCCTTAAAAGGCCATAACCTAAGGGAGCAATTCTCAACCCAGCTTTGGTGACCAGGGTTTCCTGCCAGCAGCCCAAGTTGTCCCACAGGAATGTCACAATATTAAATGAAGTCCTACAGTTTGTGAGCCATGTGTGTCCCTTAAAAATCTAGAATGGATTCAAATTACATCCATACTATCATTCTCATTTGCCTGCATCCTAAAGGCTTGTTGAATATTTTAATGTTTCAAATTACAGGCTACAGCTAAATACTCATTACATTCGTATCCTAAAAGATTCGAAGAATCCAGAAGAAGCCAACACTCCGCTCCTGGGTTCCCAGCTCCACTTCCCCACCCAAGGCGTTAGGTGTGGGTCCTCCCTGACCTTGTCCGTTCACACATGCGTGAGCACGCTCAGAAACACGGAGTTTGGTGAGTGTATATTAGCTAACGTCACCGAGGTGGTACTGTATCATTGGGCATCTTGCTTTTGTCGGGTAATTCTATGTCTTGGAGATTTCCCACGTGGTGAAATAGATCTCTTTCCAATGGCCACATAGTGGTCAGATGTACTTATTCTTTACTGATGAATATTTAGGCTAGTTCCTGTTTTGCTATAAGCAATCATTCTTGAACTGCTAGCTATTCGGAGTGTGGGGGGTCGGGGGGGGTAGTGGGTGGTGGATGGCTCCTTGGGAATTGTATACACCCCTGGCGGGGAGGGACAGAGGAAGCTTGCCTCCTGTGCATGTCGTTGTCCCGTCACAGTCAAGGTGTTAGCCTGAGCCTAACACCCCAGGCTTTCAGGGACAGACCCAAATATCAGGTGTCGCCCACGACAGAATGGACAACGGAATGAAGCAAAAGATAGAACAAAAACTAGTTCAGGATTCTCTTACAAAAGGGTCTGCAAACTTTTCTGAAAAGAATCAGATAAATATTTTAGCTTAATCTCCGATACGACTTCCTAATTCTGCCGTTGTAGCTCAAAAGCCACCACAGATGATTCGTAAATGAATGAACGTGGCTGAACTCCAATCAAACTTTAATATGGATGCTGAAATTTGAATTTTATATAGGTTTTCCATGTCATAAAATAATATTTCTTTCCAGTTCGTTCTCAACTGTTTTAAAAGGCTTGTGGGCAGCGAGCCGGAGGGAAATGTATGTACGGTTAGGAGCTGTCATTTTTTGATCGAAGCCACTCGATCCAAGCCAGGGCACGGTTGTGGAGCCCAGAGTGATTGGAAGAGTGGACCCTTGCCAGGGCGGGTGGACAAACCGAGGCGCAACCGGCCACCAAGGAAGCAGCGGCTGGCGGGAGGGGGAAGGAGCAGTCAGGCTCCCTGGAGAAGCTTCACAAGTCGGGTGCACGCCAGCTGGGATTCAGGGGCCGTCAGTACTTCTGGAAGATTGTTTTCAAAATAATCTGCAGCAGAAGGAAAAGACAGGAAAGCCCCAGAATTGGAGAGGCTCTTGAAGGATCTCTCAGGGAATCTGATTAAAGCAGCAGGCTGCATCAGTGCGCATGGAAGTGTAACTTACAAGTCCCTTCCCACGGCCCGCCGGAAATGTTCTAATAAAGCTCCAACCTCGCCGGATGTACCTCCCACCTGCTGCCCGTTTGTGTATGACCTGTGAGCCATGACAGGCCTTGCGTTTTTCAATGGTGGAAAAAAATTCCAAAAAGAATATTATTTTGTGACATATAAAAATTATATAAAATTCAGATTTCAGCATTCGTAAATGAAGGTTTATTGGAGCCCGGCCACGTCCATTCATTTACGAATTGTCTGTGGTGGCTTTGAGTGAGGATGGCTGAGTTGAGTAGTTAGTTGTGTCAGAGACTGTAAGGCCCCCCAAAAGCCACAATAGTTATTTCCTAGGTTTTTCAAAAGATGTCATTGAAGGTTGTTTGTTTTTCTCCGAGTTAAAAAAAATAATACATGTTCCTTGTAGAAAAAGCAGAAATGGATTTCCAAAATGCACCTGTAATACCACAGGTCGGTGGTTTTTTTCTTATGCGCACATGTGCCTCTGAGGGGCCAGCCGGCCAAGCGTTTAAAACTAGGATAGGCTGACTCAGCCGTCTCTTCCATCTTCGTTCTCACATCTGAATCAACTTGACACGTCCTAACTAATTTTCACACGCTTCACGTCGTTGTCAGATTATACGGTGATTCAACCTCATTGGACATTCAGGCTATTTCCAAGTTTCTTACATTAATTAAGCACTGGCTATTTCTATTTCTCCGAAAATGGTCTCTTATCCTTTGTCCATTTTTCCTACTTACTGCAGTTCTTAAAGAGAAATAAGAACTGTTATTACTGACGTGAAAGGGCTCTTTATGTCATAAGGATATTAACGACGTGAATTCAACCCCTGCTGAGGTGGCAGCTGATTACAAAGTCAAGCTAATCCAATCCCCCCTTGCCCAGAAAGAAAAAGAAAAAAAGTAGTAACTACATCTGCCAGGTCCGTGGCACATATTTTTCCCAGTCTATCCTTTGGCTGTTAAAAGGATTTTCCAGATTAAGATTGTAATAGAATCCATCCACCCTTTCCCATAGGGAGTTGGCTTTGCTTTTATGCTGAGACACAGACAGGTTAACACTTTCCCATACCTGCCTCTCCCCATCCACGGCCCCACGTAGATCCCACTTGTGTGTCCAAAACTAGTCTCTGCAGACCACCTGGGGCTATTTGGGAGGGACCTGAACTATAGGAAGCAAGCGTGGCCCTCTGTTTCGCTGTCACGTCCCCAACCTCCTGGATGCCGGAAAAAACAGCAAGGTGGTTGCTCCATGGCCCCTGCCTGCCCAGCTCTCCTTACGCGTAGGAGCTGCAGTGACACCCATCCTCCAAGGCGAAGGGACGCGCCTCACCTGCGTGAGCACGTAGTCCTTCTGGGTTAGTTTCCAAATGATTTCAAAGTGATCCACGTTGTGGAGTTCTTCGAACGCGAGGCTTTCCACCCTCCTCGGAGTGACAGTGGGGAGGGACTGTGTCTTGGACTGTGTCTGGCATGGAGCAGGTGTTCACTAAATGTTGAATAAATGATTGATGGTCCTGGGATCCATTTTGGTGACATAAAGGGGGACATAATGGGGTCACACGATGCTCAACCTCCAGCCAAAATCAGGGTGCTCGAGGTACCTGATAAAACTCTCTGGACTGCCGGTGGAATTCGGGGGCGTCGTGTTGGCCCACAATCACCAGTATGGGGTAGGCCGCATCCACGGGCTGCTTCGGGGCCACCTCCAGGCGCCGCTGCGGGCTGTTTCTCTGAGCATCCTCCCTGACACAGGGTGGGGCTGGGTCAGGACAGAGAGAAGCCCCTCCCTCACCCCGGCCCTCCTCGAAGGGTCCGGGCCAGCAGGCGGGGGGAGGCGAGAGTGACTCACGGGGTCATGAGGAGCGGGGCATTCAAAGGAGTGTGCACAATGGGCTCCAGGTCCTAGGTCCCACTGACCAGGAAAAAGCCTATGAAGGTGAAGAACAGAGGGACAGGTGGCAAGTGGGGCCGACGTCCTAACGTGTCTGGCCGGACCAGGCCCCACGCACGTGCCAGGTGGACGAGATGGGGTCAGCCCAGGCCCCAGGGCCAGAGGGGCGAGACCAGGGGAGGGAACAGAAAACAAGCAGGGCACGTCCTGTTCACAGGGCTCAAAGCCCCCAGCTCGAGCCACTGACGGCTGTTGGGACGTCTAGCAACTAGCGCGGATCCTAAGGCCCAGTGGGGGAGGGGGAAGGCTGCCCAGCCAGGCTGCGGTCCCCGTGGAAACCTCTGAGGTTGGGTGTGACTCCGTGTTCAGTCCAGTTGGCCAGGAGCATCATGGCGGCCAGGTGGGCCCCCGCTGAGTGTCCGCACAGGTAAATCCCCCTGGGATGGGTCAGAGCAGAGAGCCAGATTTGTACTGTTTGCCCACAGCGTCGGGCCTGTATCAAGGAGACCCAGTTTGCCCTCTGCTCCACAGGCCAGAAGGGCAGCTCGTCTACACAAGGGGCTAGACCCGCTGCCCTCCCACCCGGCACCGTCCGACGGAAGGCAACACCGAGGGAGTGCCCACTCGTTGCATGGATACCGCCTCTGGACGGACGCGATGCTCCGGGTCACCTGGTCTACCATGTGGTCCAGGGTGCCTGCACAGGGGGCGTAAGGCTCCGTCAGGGGCTCTCCCCCGTCCAGAGCCCGCCGGCTCCCAAACCCGCAGTAACGCCATACTTACCTTTGGGGGCAATGTCATAAGCCAGTATCACCACGGCTACTCCCTGTGCTGTGAGCGGGTTGACCATGAAGGCCGATGTGTCTTTACTGCAGACAGAGACAAAGGTCACGACGTGGCCGGCACAGGGCTTCTGTGTCCTGTCCACCCAGCACACCCCCTCCCTCTGCCGCACGTGGTACGGAGCAGATCATAGGCTCTGTCCTCGCCACGTTACATGCCAGCTATGGGGCCCTGGAGACTTTCTAAGCCTGGTTCCCTCGTCTGTAAAACAGAGACGATTGTGCTCTTTCTCTAAGGGCACTGGCTTTCGAGAATTGAAGCAGATTAGACATGTAGAGAGTGTCACCGGCAGAGCATAAAGGTGCAACAAATCTATCATTCTCATGACAGCTTGAGGTGGGAGCTGTCCCCTCTCACATTGGTCACCCCCTCAGTAAGATCCCAGGGAGCACAGTGTCCCCGAAGGTCCCAAATGCCCCTCTGCTTATCTTGGAGTGACCATCTGTCTCCATTTTCCCAGGCCTTTCCTTCTTTTTGCTACCAAAAGGCCCATCCCAGCAACCTGAGATGCTGTCCCTGCGGCTTTCCCTAACTCGAGAGGACTGAACACGCTTCTCGCCAGGCACATGGGTCGAATAGTGTCCCCCCAGAAGATATGTCCACATCCTGACCCCCAGTACCTTCGAATGCGACCTTATTTTGAAATAGGGGTATGCAGGTGTGATTAAGACTCTTGAGATCATCCTGGATTTAGGATGGGCCCTAAATCCAACAACTGGGGACAGAATAAGAGAAAGCAGAGGGAGATTGGAGACACAGACACACGAGGCCACGTGAAGATGAATGCTGAGTTTTGAGTGATGCGGCCACAAACCAAGGAAGACGCAGAAGCACCCGCAGCTGGAGAGGCAAGAGCCAGAGCCCTCAAGCCTTCGGAGGGGCGTGGCCTTCGGGGGGCGTGGTCTTCGGGGGGCGTGGCCCTGCCGGCACCTCAATTTCAGCCTTTCAGCCTCCGAAACAATGAGAGCA